ACCCTGCACGATCGACCGGATCCTCGCAGGTCCGCGACCCTCGGGGGCCCGGAGCAGACACATCCTTCCCGCCGAGGTCACTCACCTGCGCCGCCGCCGCCGCCTCCGCCTCCCGGTGCGCACCCGGCTCGGCCCTCCGCAAACTCCAGCCCGGGCCTCTCCCGCAGTGGCGCCTGGGGGGCGGGGCCGACACCCGCGGCCGGCCAATCAGCGGCTGCCTCCCGGTGCTTACGGCCAATCCGCGTCGTCCGCTTCGGGTGGACCCGACGGAAACATTCCAGAGGGATCCCTCCTCCTCTCCCGGCTCTTCCCGACTCCCCCCCGCGCCGCGAAGCAGTGGACCGTCCCGCCCTGCTTAAGCCGCGGCGGGCTGTACCAACGGAGGGCTGAGGAGGGGGGGAGCTGCAGCTGGGCCCCGGCCAATCGCGAAGGAGGAAGGAGCCGAGCGGCCAATGGAAAGGAAGCTGGGGCCCCTGAACCACGTGCTGTCGGCTGAGTGCCCGTCTGGGGTGCCCTGGGTGGTGAGGGGCGGGGGAGTCAGGTGACCTAGGCCAGGTTTCGTGGAAAGGATTCGAACTTCCGACGTCCAGGAAAGCGGACCGTTTAGGAGGCCTGGGTGGGGGTCAATGGCAGCCCCCAACCCAGTTCCCCGCCCGGCCTCTTCTGCCCCAGCCCGGCCATCCTCGGAGCGGATAAAAAGATGCATTCATTCTCTGGGTGCGGGCGGGGGACCGACATGAATAGGGAGGGTCCCGAGTGTCCCTGCTTCCTGGGCTGTACAATGGACATTCATTCACTCATCAAATATTTAATGTGCCCCCTGCTCCGTGCCAGGCTCTGTCCTACCTCTGCAGACGCGTCAGTGAATAAGCCTAATGTGCTCCTGGTAGAGGTAACAGAGCTTGCGAAAGCCGAACAGAGCGATACAGCACGCTTTAGGATAGTGCAATATCGTGGGAGCTAGTAAATCAGTGTGGAAAAGCAAGATGGAATGAAAGGCAAGGGTGAGATAGTTTATTTGCTTGTTGGTTTATTGGGCTCTTACTGTGGGCTAGGTCACAGAGGGTGCCCAGCCAGCCTTTCATAGATCTGTCTCCTCCATCTGACTATGAGGGTGGAGGCCAAGTCTCTCTTGTCAACCCTTAACTCCCACCTCAGGCTGCCACACAGCAGATTCTCAGCAAACCTGTGTGGACAAATACAACAGGTAGTTTACAAGGAAGGGGGATTTATCAGGTGGGCACAGATCCAAGAAACAAGAGTCACAAATGCGCCTGGACCAGGCCAGGACACTCGGTTCCTGGGACAGGAGAGATTTCCTTGTTCTAGTTCAAACCCAGCCACTTGTACAGCAACTGGGGCTGAATGCCCGGTGTTCTGGGAACTGTAGTTCCTGGAAGCCTCTGAGTGCTGAGACCCTACTCAAGCTTCGTAGAAAGACTGGTTTTTTGCAGTTTCCAGGGTGAGATGTTGTGCATCTCAGCCCCACCAGGACCTGCAGAGGGGCAGACTGAAAGGGGAGATGGAACCTTGAGCTTTGCGGCTGAGGATTGCCTGGCCGGCCCCTCCCAGCTGGCAAACACCGAGATTGCTGTGGCAGGCCAGGCAACAGGCACGGCTATTGTCCCTCCCTTCCTGTTCTGCTGACCTCTGCCATCCCACTGAGCAATCAGTTGCCTGGGCTGGCCAGTGCCCTCTGTGTGACTGTGCTGCCTGCCCTGCTTGAGCCTGGCATCTGAGCTGCCCCCTGCTCACTTGGAGAGAACAGGATGCTGAGCCCAGGGGACAGCATGACTGAGGCTGCAGAGTCCTGAGCCAGACTCCATCTGGCTCCTGTTTCCTGATGAGGAAGTGCCCCGAGAAGGGGTGATGGGATTATGGGATTGCTCTAGACACAGAACAGCGCTGGGCACCTCCTTTCTGATTTTTTTTTTTTTTTTTTTTTTTTTTTTGAGACAGTGTCTAGCTCTGTCAGCCAGGCTGGAGTGCAGTAGCAGGATCTCGGCTCACTGCAACCTCCGCCTCCTAGGCTCAAGCAATCCTCCCATCTTAGCCTACCGAGTAGCTGGGACCACAGGCATACACCACCACACCTGGCTAATTTTGTTGTTATTGTTGTTTGTTTGTTTGTTTTTTTTTTTTTTTGAGACAGAGTCTCACTCTGTCGCCCGGGCTGGAGTGCAGTGGCCGGATCTCAGCTCACTGCAAGCTCCGCCTCCCGGGTTCACGCCATTCTCCTGCCTCAGCCTCCCGAGTAGCTGGGACTACAGGCGCCCACCACCGCGCCCGGCTAATTTTTTGTATTTTTTAGTAGAGACGGGGTTTCACCATGTTAACCAGGATGGTCTCGATCTCCTGACCTCGTGATCCGCCCGTCTCGGCCTCCCAAAGTGCTGGGATTACAGGCTTGAGCCACCGCGCCCGGCCTTGTTTGTTTTTTTGAGACAGAGCCTCACTCTGTCGCCCAGGCTGCAGTGCAGTGGTGCAGTCTGAGCTCACTGCAACCTCTGCTTCTCGGGTTCGAGCAATTCTCACGCCTCAGTTTTCTGAGTAGCTGGAATTACAGGCGTGCGCCATCATGCTTGGCTAAATTTTTTGTATTTTTAATAGAGACGGAGTTTTGCCATGTTGGCCAGTCTGGTCTTGAACTCCTGGCCTCGAGTGATCCACCTGCCTCATCCTCCTGAAATGCTGGGATTACAGGCATGAGCCACTGTGCACGGCCTGTTCTTTTGTTTATTTGTTTGTTTGTTTGTTTTTGAGACAGAGTTCCACTCTTGTTGCCCAGGCTGGAGTGCAGTGGCGCAATCTCGGCTCACTGCAACCTCCGCCTCCCAGGTTCAAGTGATTCTCCTGCCTCAGCCTCCTGATTAGCTGGGATTACAGGCGCCCGCCTCCATACCTGGCTAGTTTTGTATTTTTAGTAGAGACAGGGTTTCACCCTGTTGGCCAGGCTGGTCTCGAACTCCAGGCCTCAAGTGATCCACCTGCCTCATCCTCTCAAAATGCTGGGGTTACAGGTATGAGTCACTGCGCCAGGCCCGTTTGTTTGTTTTTTGATAGAGACAGGGTCTCACCATGTTGCACAGAGTTGGTCTCGAACTCCTGGGCTCAAGCCATCCTCCCTCTTTGGCCTCCCAAAAGTGCTGGGATTACAGGTGTGAGCCACTGTGCCCAGCCCTCCTTCCTGATTTTATAGCTCAAGAGGAATGCCTAAAAGCCGAGGCTGGGAAGTCCAACGGTGAGCAGCTCAGATGTGAGTGCTACCTCTATTCCTTTAAAAGAAAAAAGAGGCCGGGTGCAGTGGCCCACACCTGTAATCCCAACATTTTGGGAGGGCGAGGCGGGTGGATCACGAGGTCAGGAGTTCGAGGTCAGCCTGGCCTACGTGATGAAACCTCGTCTCTACTAAAAATACAAAAATTAGCCAGGTGTGATGGCGGACACCTGTAATCCCAGCTACTCAGGAGGCTGAGGCAGGAGAATCGCTTGAAACCGGAAGGCGGAGGTTGCAGCGAGTGGAGATCGCGCCACTGCACTCCAGCCTGGGCGAAAGAGCGAAACTCCGTCTCAAAAAAAAAACAAAAACAAACAAACAAAAAACAGAAAAAAAAATTCCAGGCCGGGCGCGGTGGCTCACGCCTGTAATCCCTGCACTTTGGGAGGCCGAGGCGGGCGGATCACGAGGTCAGGAGATCGAGACCATCCTGGCTAACACGGTGAAACCCCGTCTCTACTAAAATACAAAAAAAAAAAAAAAATTAGCCGGGCGCGGTGGCGGGCGCCTGTAGTTCCAGCTACTCGGGAGGCTGAGGCAGGAGAATGGCGCGAACCTGGGAGGCGGAGCTTGCAGTGAGCCGAGATGGTGCCACTGCACTCCAGCCTGGGCGACAGAGTGAAGACTCCGCCTCAAAAAAAAAAAAAAAAAAAAAAAATTCCATCCTTGAATGCCAGCTAACACATGCAGAAGGGAAGGTTGAGTGAGTTAGAACATCATTGTTTTGCTGGGTGCAGTGGCTGCAGCCTCTAATCCCAGCGACTTGGAAGCTGAGGCTGAAAGGATCACTTGAGGGCAGGAGTTCGAGTCTAGCCTGGGCAACATAGCAAGACCTCCATCTCTACAAAAATGGTTGTGGTGGTGTGCGCCTGTAGTCCCAGCTACTCGGGAGGCTGAAGCAGGAGGATTACTTGAGGAGTCTAGGCTACAGTGAGTTATGAGTTACAGCTTCCTATGTGCCAGACATCATTCATTCCAAGAACTTCCTATTTATTAAACCATTTAACTCTCCTAATCACACAAGTGCAGTTGTAGACATTGTATATTTATACTCCCACTTTGTCATGTGAAAATTTGTTTCATCCACGATCTCCTTCATTGGAGGGAAATTTTTTTTTTTTTTTTTTTTTTTTGAGACGGAGTCTAGCTCTGTCGCCCAGGCTGGACAGGAGTGCAGTGGCCGGATCTCAGCTCACTGCAAGCTCTGCCTCTTGGGTTCACGCCATTCTCCTGCCTCAGCCTCCCGAGTAGCTGGGACTACAGGTGCCCACCACCATGTCTGGCTAATTTTTTTGTATTTTTAGTAGAGACAGGGTTTCACCGTGTTCGCCAGGATGGTCTCAATCTTCTGACCTTGTGATCTGCCTGCCTTGGCCTCCCAAAGTGCTGGGATTACAGGCGTGAGCCACCGTGCCCAGCCTCTTTTTTTTTTTTTTTTTTTGTCTGAGACATAGTCTCACTCTGTCACCCAGGCTGGAGTGCAGTGGCGTGATCTCAGCTCACTGCAACCTCTGCCTCCTGAGCTCAAGCAATTCTCCTGTGTCAGCCTCCTGAGTAGCTGGGATTACAGGCTGTGCCACCATGCCCAGCTAATATTTTTGTATTTTTAGTGAGACAGGGTTTCACCATATTGGCCAGGCTGGTCTTGAACTCCTGACCTCATGATCTGCCCACCTGGACCTCCCAAAGTGCTGGGATCACAGTCATGAGCCACCGCGCCCCATCCATTCTACAGTTTTACTTTTCCTGAGTCTTTATTCCATCCGTAGTTGACCTGAGGTTCTGGGGTAGAATCGTTTTTTCTCCATAACCTGTGCTGCTCACCAGCTCCGTGACCTTGTGTGAGGCCCATCCCCTTCTGTGCCTCAGTCTCCTCATCTGTAAAATGGAGATAATAATAATACATCCCAGCCAGGCGTGGTGGCTCACACCTGTAATTTTAGCACTTTAGGAGGCCGAGGCAGGTGGATCACTTGAGGCCCGGAGTTCAAGACCAGCCTGACCAACATGGAGAAACCCTGTCTCTTCTAAAAATGGCAAAAATCAGCCAGGTGTGGTGGTGTGCACCTGTAATCCCAGCTACTCAGGAGGCACAAGAATCGCTTGAACCTGGGAGGTGGAGGTTGCAGTGAGCTGAGATCATGCCACTGCACTACAGCCTGGGTGACAAACTGAGACCTTGTCTCAAAAAAAGAAAAAGGCCAAGCATGGTGGCTCACACCTGTAATCCCAGCACTTTGGGAGACCGAGGTGAGTGGATCACCTGAGGTCAGGAGTTTGGGACCAGCCTCGCCAATGTGGCAAAATCTCTGTCTCTAGTAAAAATACAGGCCGGATATGGTGGCTCATGCCTTTAATCCCAACTCTTTGGGAGGCCGAGGCAGGCGGATCATGAGGTCAAGAGATCGAGACCATCCTGGCTAACATGGTGAAACCCCGTCTCTACTAAACATACAAAAAATTAGCCGGGCATGGTGGTCCCAGCTGTAGTCCCAGCTACTTGGGAGACTGAGACAGGAGAATGGTGTGAACCCAGCAGGTAGAGCTTGCAGTGAGGCGAGATCATGCCACGGCACTCCAGCCTGGGCGACAGAGCGAGACTCCATCTTAAAAAATAAATAATTAAATTAGCTGGGCACAGTGGCGTGCACCTGTAATGCCAGCTATTCTGGAAGCTGAGGCAGGAGAATGGCTTGATTCTCGGGAGGCAGAGGTTGCAGTGAGCTTGATTCGGGAGGTGGAGGTTGCAGTGAGCTGAGAACATGCCACGGCACTCCAGCCTGGGACACAGAGCGGGACTTAGTTTCAAAAAAAAAATAATTAGGCCGGGCGCGGTGGCTCAAGCCTGTAATCCCAGCACTTTGGGAGGCAAACAAAAAAAAAATAATTAAAAAAAAAATAATAGTACATACCTCCTTAGGTGGTTATGAGCATGTTAGGATTAAATGGGCTATTCCATGTCAAATGCCCCTGATGGTGGTAAGCACTTACTGCATACCAGCTGCTATTATTAAAATGTGCTGAGAGCACAACCACGGATAGATGCAATATGTCATAATGGACACATCATAGAAATTGAAGCCTGTATTGGACCCTTGCTGTGTGTCAGGCTCTGTGCTGGTTGCTTTTCATGTCTAATCTCACTGGATCATGTTGAGCTCCTGGGAATGGGACTGATATCACCCCCACTCTACAGAGGAGGAGACTGAGGCTCAGAGACGGGGAGACACGAGCTGAAGGATGCAGTGACTGATAGATGTGGAATCTTAGCTCCAACCCCAGGACATGAGACGTCCCTCTAGGGAGTGGGTTCTACTTTCTTCAACTTTGGGGACAGGGTGGACTGAGATGTAGGGGACAGGAGGGACAGCACCGAGGGACATAGCCCCAGCCAGGTGATCCTGGAGACAGGGCTGAGTCCTGTGGCCTCAGGTTACAGCCCCAGCACTGTCACCTGCCTTTTGTTTGTTTGTTTGTTTGTTTTTGAGACAGAGTCTGGCTGTGGCGTCCAGGCTGGAGTGCAGTGGCGCCATCACTGCAAGCTCCGCCTCCCGGGTTCACGCCATTCTCCTGCCTCAGCCTCCTGAGTAGCTGGGACTGCAGGCGCCCGCCACCATGCCTGGCTAATTTTTTGTATTTTTAGTAGAGACGGGGTTTCACCGTGTTAGCCAGGATGGTCTTGATCTCCTGACCTCATGATCCGCCCGTCTCGGCCTCCCAAAGTGCTGGGATTACAGGCTTGAGCCACCGCGCCCGGCCTTGTTTGTTTGTTTTTAATTCAGACGGAAGTCTTGCTCTGTCTCCCAGGCTGGAATGCAGTGGCGCAATCTTGGCTCACTGCAACCTCTGCCTCCTGGAGGTTCAAGAAAGTCTCTTGCCTCAGGCTCCAGAGTAGCTGGGATTACAGGCGCCCACAACCATGCCTGACTAATTTTTGTATTTTCAGTAAAGACAGGATTTTGCGATGTTGGCCAGGCTGGTCTTGAACTCCTGACCTCAGATGATCCACCCACCTCAGTCTCCCAAAGTGCTGGGATTACAGGCTTGAACCACTGCACCCAGCCTGGCACCTGCCTTTGACTGCCGGGTTTTAGGAAGTGACACCCAGCAGCTGTGCACGTCACACTGTTTTCTAGAGAGGTCTCTGCAGCAGCAAAGAGAAACAAATGGCAACAGTGGTGATAAAAAACACCACACCAGCCCTTCTCCCTGAACTCCTGCGGTATTTCTCTATCTTGCTTTCTCTATAAGGATGTCTCAGGGCGGCCGGGCGCGGTGGCTCAAGCCTGTAATCCCAGCACTTTGGGAGGCCGAGACGGGCAGATCACGAGGTCAGAAGATCGAGACCATCCTGGCTAACACGGTGAAACCCCGTCTCTACTAAAAAATATATATATAAAAAACTAGCCGGGCGAGGTGGCGGGCGCCTGCAGTCCCAGCTACTCGGGAGGCTGAGGCAGGAGAATGGCATGAACCCAAGAGGAGGAGCTTGCAGTGAGCTGAGATCTGGCCACTGCACTCCAGCCTGGGTGGCAGAGTGAGACTCTGTCTCAAAAAAAAAAAAAAAAAAGGCCGGGCGCGGTGGCTCAAGCCTGTAATCCCAGCACTTTGGGAGGCCGAGGAGGGTGGATCACGAGGTCAGGAGATCGAGACTATCCTGGCTAACATGGTGAAACCCCGTCTCTACTAAAAATACAAAAAACTAGCCGGGCGAGGTGGCGGGCGCCTGTAGTCCCAGCTACTGGGAGGCTGAGGCGGGAGAATGGCGTGAACCCGGGAGGCGGAGCTTGCAGTGAGCCGAGATCACGCCACTGCACTCCAGCCTGGGAGACACAGCGAGACTCCGTCTCAAAAAAAAAAAAAAAAAAAAAAAAAAAAAAAAAAAAGGCTCAGGGCATCTCAAACTGAACCCATCTGGAATTGAGGTCTTGATTGACACCCCAAATCTGCCTGTTACCCTGTCTGTCCCAGCATGGTGATAGCAATTCTCACTTTCAGTTGATCAGGCCCCAAACCTTGGAATGAATCTTGGCTATTACCAACCTTCCTTCCGCTCTCTCCTTCCTTTCTTTTCTCTCTCTTTTCCCCTCCCTCCCTCCCTCCTTTCCTTCCTTCCTTCCTTCCTTCCTTCCTTCCTTCCTTCCTTCCTTCCTTCTCTTCTTTTTTTTCTTCCTTTCCTTCTTCCTTCCCCTCCGTCCCTCCCTTCCTCCCTTCCTCTCTTCCTTCCTTCCTTCCTTTTCCTTCTCCTCTCCTCTTCTCACCTCCCCTCTTCTTTTCTGTTCTTTCTTGACAGGGTCTTGCTTTGTTACCCAGGCTGGAGTGCACTGGCAAAATCATGGCTCCCTGCAGCCTCAACATCCTGGGCTCAAGCAATCCTCCTACCTCAGCCTCCCAAGGACCTGGAACCACAGGTACAAGTCACTACACCCAGCTATTTTTTTTTTTTTTTTTTTTTTTGTAGAGATGGGATTTTACCATGTTGCCGAGGCTGGTTTCAAACTCCTGAGCTCAAACGATCCTCCTGCCTTGGCCTCCCAAAATGCTGGGATTACAGACGTGAGCCACCGCACCCAGCCAACTCCTACCTTTCTCTCAGACTCCAGCTCTGTCAGGAGCACGTCCTATCAGCACTACTTTCTTTTCTGTTCTTTTCCCCTTTTTAAATCCCAATGGGCAAGCAATGACAGTGAAACTCACAGACCCATTAGATGTTTTAAAAAAGCTTTTCTTACAGGCACAATATTTTCTTTTTCTTTTCTTTTCTCTCTCTCTCTTTTTTTTTAGATAGGGTCTCGCTGTCATCCAGGCTGAAGTGCAGTGGTGCCATCATAGCTCACCATAGCCTTGACCTCCTAGGCTCAAGTGATCCTCCTACCACACCCAGCTAATTTTGGTATTTTTCGTAGAGATGGGGTTTTGCCATGTTGCCCAGGCTGATTTTGAACTCCTGGGCTCAACCTCCTGCTTCAGCCTCCTCCCAAGTAGCTGAGATTACAGGAGGGAGCCACCTATCTCATCTCTGGCCCAAGATGTATTTATTTATTTATTTTTTATTTTTTTTATTTTTTTATTTTTTTTGAGACAGAGTCTTGCTCTGTCGCCCAGGCTGGAGTGCAGTGGCTGGATCTCAGCTCACTGCAAGCTCCGCCTGCCGGGTTTACACCATTCTCCTGCCTCAGCCTCCTGAGTAGCTGGGACTACAGGCGATCGCTACCTCGCCCGGCTAGTTTTTTGTATTTTTTTAGTAGAGACGGGGTTTCACCATGTTCGCCAGGATGGTCTCGATCTCCTGACCTCGTGATCCGCCCGTCTTAGCCTCCCAAAGTGCTGGGATTACAGGCTTGAGCCACCGTGCCTGGACTTTTTTTTTTTTTTTAAGACAAAGTCTGGCTGTGTCACCCAGGTTGGAGTGCAGTGGCAAGATCTCAGCTCATTGCAACCTTGGTCTCCCGGTTTCAAATGATTCTCAGCCTCCCAAGTAGCTGGGATTACATGACTGGCTGATTTTTGTATTTTTAGTAGAGATGACGTTTTATTGTATTGGCCAGGCTGGTCTTAAACCCCTAAGCTCAAGTGATCTGCCCTCCTCAGCCTCCCAAAGTGCTGCGATTATAGGTGGGAGCCACCGTGCCCAGCCCCAGGATGTATTATTGGGTGGGTGTGGTGGTTCGTGCCTGTGGTCCCAGCTACTTGGGAGGCTGAGGTAAGAGGATGACTTGAGTCCAGGAGGTTGAGGCTGCAGTGAGCTATGATTGCACCATTTCACTCCAGCCTGTGCAACAGAATGAGACCCTGTCTCTAATAAACAAAAAAAAAGGAAAGCCAAACAAACAAACAAACAAAAAATCAGCCAGGTGCAGTGGCTCATGCCTGTAATCCCAGCACTTTGGGAGGCCGAGGCCGGTGGATTGCCTGAGGTCAGGAGATTGAGACCAGCATGGCCCACATGGAGAAACCCCATCTCTAATAAAAACACAAAAATTAGCCGGGCGTGGTGGGACACGCCTGTACTCCCAGCTACTCCGGAGGCTGAGGCAGGAGAATCGCTTGAACCCAGGAGACGGAGGTTGCAGCAAGCCGAGATTGCGCCACCGCACTCCAGCCTGGGTGACAGAGCGAGACTCCATCTCAAGAAAAAAAAAAAAATCCTGGACTACTTTCCCCACACCTGCTCAGACCTCTCCTGGTCCAGCCAGCCGTATCACCTCCTGCCTGGTGGTGGAGCGAATGGCTTTGGTCCTGGTCCTCCCGCTCTGCCCTTACACCTACAGTCAGTTCTCAGCACAGAGGCCAGGGGGCGCCCGTGAGCACCCAAGTCAGGTCACCTCCCTTCTCTTCGGAGGACCTCCCCGCAGGAGGCCATGTGCCCCCAAAGAACCCGTTTCTGTAAGCCAAAGTGGTTTTTTTTTTTTTTTTTAGGTGTCATGGCTGGCTACATTGATGTCCAGCATAATATTATTGGGGAACTTTGGGGCCCCATGTAGGCAAATCTCTCAGGTCCCAGCTCTGACTTCTGGGTAAAAGCAAATCAGGCCTTGTCCCTCCTAACTCTCAATTTCTCTTCCAACTCAAGAACGCAGGGCCCGGCCTGTCTCATTCCTAGACACGCCCTGCCCTGCTGTCTCCTGTTCTTTCAGTTCCAGCCACACCAGGGCTCTGTGTGTGTGTGTGTGTGTGTGTGTGTGTGTGTGTGTGTGTGTGTGTGTGTGTGGATGGCCCTGTTGGGGAGTGGTTCCCGGATCCCCAGCCTGGGGGCCTCATCCCCAGACCTCGGCTGCAGGAGCCCCTCCCTGCACCTTAACAAGCTCCTGTCCCTTGGCCTGCGTGTCCAGGGCCTGCCAGGCGTCTTCCCCTCCACGCTGTGGGCTATGGGAAGTGGCTGGGTCAGTTTAATGAGTGAAACGATGCCCCACCCTAAAATATGTGTCCACATTCCAGAACCTGTGAATGTGACTTTACTTGGAGTGTCTTCAAAGATGTAAGTCAGTGAAGGATCTC